CGCTCTTCCAGTCTTCTCTGAAATCAGCTGAAAATCAGAGTAGTTGCAGAGCAAATGGCCTAAAGCTCAATCTCTCTAATGTGCCTGAACCCTCCAGCAGGTCCTCTTCGACAGGCAGCACTCCGCTCTCCTCTCCTGTCGTTGACTTTTACCTAAGTCCTGGACCCCCCAGTAACTCTCCGCTTACTACACCTACCAGGGACTACCCAGTAAGCCCATGTATCCCCAAGTCTGGGGTCCACATCCTTTATCCTATTCCTGAATGGCCACCAAAAGCTAACTGTCTTCCATCACCTGGCGATTGCCCTTCCTTAACTTCACAGAAACCGAGCAGCCTTCCTGTGAACACCTTGACTGATGACAATCCAGTTAAGGGAGTCTCCAGATCAACAGATGAAGGGAATCCCAATCTGCAGGAAAGCTGTGATGAGTTAGGAGAGCCCTCGGAGTGCTTCCCGTACTTCCAGAGTGACTGTGCTTTCTCCAGTCCCTTCTGGAAAGAAGGATGTTCACTCAGCACGTCGCCACCTCACCTCACCACACAGAGGAAGGACAAAGCGCTTGACAGAAACATTTGTCCTTCTAAAGAAAGAGAAACCTGGCACGATCAGAAGAGCCTTAACCAGGGTTCCTTCAGCTATGTCTGTGAACGGCTGGAACACCTGCAGACGGCCGGCGATGCGCGCGCCTGGCATGGCCTCCCCTCCACCTGCGGGCACGGACTCTTCAGGAGCCAGCACGCAGACGGGTGGCCCTTCATGCTGAGGATTCCCGAGAAGAAGAACATGATGTCATCTCGGCAGTGGGGCCCTATTTACCTCAAAGTTCTTGCTGGGGGTGTGTTACAAATGTATTATGAAAAGGGCCTAGAGAAGCCTTTCAAGGAATTCCAGTTGCAGCCACACTGTAAGCTTTCCGAGCCCAAGCTGGAGAGCTATAATGTTTCAGGAAAAATTCATACTGTGAAGATTGAGTGTGTGTCCTACGTGGAGAAAAGGAAGTATCATCCCAAAGTAGAAGTGATCCATGAACCGGAGGCTGAGCAGATGTTAAAGTTGGGAACCACGGATTATAACGACTTCACTGATTTCCTTGAAACCATTGAGGACGAGCTCATGAAACTTCCTGCCACTTCTAAACAAAAGCGAAATTATGAAGAACAAGAAATGACTCTAGAAATAGTGGACAACTTTTGGGGTAAAATCACTAAAGCTGAAGGAAAACTTGTGGAAAGTGCTGTCATCACACACATTTACTGTTTATGTTTTGTGAATGGGAGTACTGACTGCTTTTTAACTTTAAATGATCTAGAACTCCAGAAAAGGGATGAACGCTACTTGGAGAAGGAGACGGAGAAGAAATGGATTGATATTCTAGATTACCATTTCCACAGCTGTGTTAAAACACAGGAATTTGAGCAATCGCGAATTATTAAGTTTACACCTCCTGATGCCTGCAGGCTGGAGCTAATGCGTTTCAAGACGCAGTATAACGGACGAGACCTTCCATTCTCGGTGAAGGCTGCTGTTGTGGTTCAGGGAGCATACGTAGAACTTCAGGCTTTTATTAACACATCTTCAACTGCTCTGACACCAACGCGTTTACCTTCTGTGAAGCACTGTGAAAACGTTATGATACGCTTCCCAGTTCCTGCACAGTGGATCAAAGCACTTTGGACCATGAACCTCCAGAAGCAGAAGTCCCTAAAAGCGAAAATGAATAGAAGAACGTGCCTTGGCTCCTTACATGAGATTGAATCTGATCCTGTAATACAAGTGTCAGTTGGAACGGCAAAATATGAAAGCGCCTATAGGGCTGTGGTGTGGAAGATAGACAGGCTTCCAGATAAAAACTCAAGTAAATAACTTGCTATAAAATAATGGGCTTGGGAGCAGATCTTGTCAGGGTTTGTGCAATGTTCTTATGCTGTGTAGTTTCGTCACCTTGGGTAGTTCTAATGTGTACCTGTGCAGTGGTGTCCATAGGAGCTAACCTTTAAGAGAAAGGAGAGTATGGCCTCTTTTTTTTTTTTTCCCTAAAGGGTGATTTCTTAATTTGTTTGATCCCAGCAGATGTATTATTATCATTCATTATAATAGTGCAGTACCCGGAAATTTGTAGCAAGAATAAGGGGCAGGTTTATGTGGACCAGCTGGGCCATGGGGGGATGGGAAGTGACCGCTGGCAGCTGAAGTGATTTGCCTGCCCAGTGTCACATAATAAATTGCAGAGTTGGAATTTAACTCTCGCATCTCAGTTTTCTAGCAGCTTTTAAGAAATGGTAGGGATGATACGTGACTAGAAGATGCTGTGGTCAAACCTGCTGTAGCAGATTGGCTGTGCAAAGACTGCTGTCTGCTACCTCACTTACAGGGTCATACACTGAGATTGTATAATCGTGAAAATAACCATGCTGATGGAAGATACCTCTGGGTATATTGCTGTTTCTCTGTGGTGGTGATACCAAACTTTAAATACCTGCAACAATAAAACGAGTTGCACGTAGGGGAGTAATAATTTTCCACTAAGTAAAATAGCTAATTTAGTCTAATTTAATCATCAAAGTACTGCTTTTGGAGAAGGAAAATATAAACACACAGCTTTAAAATTCCCATTTTAGTCATGTTAACAGACTTATACAGCTACCCTGGTTCTTTTCTAAAGGCACAAAAATGCTGAGAAATATTTCATTGTTTTAAATGCTGCAGAATGGAGCCACTAGACCCTTTCCTTGGATATGCTTTATATGTATATGAGGCTTTGGGGGATCTTTGTAGGATGAGGGCATCTATTAAACTATTTGACCTAAAATATCTGCAAAAACTGTACCTTTGAGACTGGAGAAAGAGTGAAAAATTAACAAATGAATTGAATTAGACTTGCAGAGTACTAACTGTCTGGCCTACATACCTCTTTAAAATGTCCAGAAAAGATTTAGTCTTCTAAAGGGCAGATTTCATGTATGTTAGTACCGACATTTCTACTCAATGGTTCAGGCAGCTAGACATGTGATCAGCCAGAAGTTCCGTTTCAAAACTATATGTAAAAAAAGAACTCCTGAAGGTAATTTTCTCTGATTTTAACTAACCATAAGCAACATAGTTTAAGGCATTATGGTATCCATTTTCTGTCATTATGATATATTGTTTTCTTTTTCATTTTTCTTTCATCTGGTACTTGAATGTTTCTGATTGTTACTTCTGACATGTAATAAGACAAAAATATGAATAGGGAATGTTGTCCTGAGCCTGTGTGTGAACTAGGTTGGAAAGACCCTTTTACAGCAAGGCAGAGCCTCGTGCGTCGACGTGCTGCTGCAGCACTGCAGGTTACGGCACGGCTCCTGGCAGGGCAGGACCAGTTTGTGTTTCGTGGTGCTCTTGTGTGGGAACACGGATGCCTTTGGTTTGCAGGACGTGTCTGACTTAGGAGGGGAGGTCTCTCCAAGCTGGAGCGATTTTTGCCTTTCTGTTTGCATTGCTGTGGCAGGGGCAGTGGTGACGGCGCCTCTGCAGAGCTGGTGCTGCGGGCCTCCGTGGCCATCTGCCCTGCATCTCGCGCTGGGAGAAGCTGTGGTTGGACCTGTGGTGTCTCCCAGTCCTTCCACCCTCAGCCTCGTGCTCCGCTCTGCCGCGATGCTGGGGCTGCCAAGAAAGGGGCCATGAGAATGACAGGAAGATGTAGCCCTGGCGGGTGGGCTGCTGCTCAGCACGAGGCCAAGGGAGCAGCGGTGCGGGGGAAGCGACACACGGAGCGGACTGGGAAGCACCGGAGGAGAAAGGAGAGGGGGCAGTGGAGACGTTAGTGGGATCTGGCCCCCCAGAAAATCGATAGATCAGGACAAGGAGTTGAGAGGAAGAAGTGGGAGATTTAAATGGAAATCAAATCCATGAGGGCTTCCAAACTCTGTGAATAAGGATGCCAGTTGTCTGTTCGGAGTCTTGCTGTGCTGCTGCTGTGGCCTCTGTGTTTTCCCAAAGCTTACGGGACTGACTGCTTGGGTAGCTTTAATATTCCTTGCTGCTTAATGTAGATATGTTTCTACAAGATCAGTCCGTAGGTTTAGTCAGGCAATTTTACAGAAGATTATGATTCTCCCAAAGTCTTTAATTCCCTACAGTTTGTTCACCTTAAGACTTGTTGTGCACAATTAAGCTGAGATTTATGGTGTTTGAAAGTAAGAACCTTTTCTGTGGCATTCTACAACTTTAAATTATTTTCTAACAAAGCTTAAACTGTTGACATTTGAATAGCTCCTCTGGCTAAGATCTGCAAATTCATCTGTATCCTTGAAATGTTCTCGCGTTTTAGAAAGTGTTTCAATAGTAATACTGCCTGGTCAAGTTTTAAGGTTTTATCTCTAGTATGTATGCAGTAAAGACTGCAAAAATAGAACTGCCCGGAGGTGTGCCAAAATTTGGAGGCAGTCGGACTAATAGAAATATGTAAACTTTCATAATACGTTTACTGTAGGGAGAAAAATATGCCAGTGTTTTTGCTTGCAAAAAGCCTTTGTCCAACACTGGGCGGGGCGGGGAGGAGGAATAAAAGTCCCAGTTGCCTGCAGGCCAACAGATACATTGTATCTCCATTTATAGTCATCAAAATATGTCAGTTCTTGCTGAAGTGTGTCCTTGGAAGGGTGCTGTCCAAGCAGAGCCTGTGGTGGCCATGAGATACCCCCGAGTTTTAGTAGCTGCCTGTGCTTGTTTAAGTATATACACGGAGGGTATGGGGCCTGAAAGCCAGCAGCGACTGTAGAAGAAAGATACTTTAAAAGCCTCGGGCTTTGTGTTGTCTAGTGAAACTTCTGCAAATTGAGCGTGTTTGTGTAATGAGCCTGGCCTGCAGAAACAGGGCCCGGGTCGCGCTTTCAGCACCTCCTGGTGCCTGCGTTTGCACCGTGGCCTTTCCTGCCCAGGCAGTGGTCCCTCCCCGCGGTTCTTCCCTCAGTTGCTTCTCCTCCATGAAGGAGCTGTGGGGACGGAGCAAAGCAGAAAGAGGGAGCCCACTCACGGTTGCTGGGGCCCTGCTCCTGCCTTCCAGCACCTGCGCAGGGGCCCTGAGCGTGACCCGGCTGCAGTGCTGGAGGGCTCACAGCAGCCTTGGGCTGGTGCTGGTTTTGCTTCAGAGCTGGCAGAAAGTCCTGCTCGTGACATCTGTGCTTGACGGCCATTGCCACCACCTCCTCCTGGTGCCACAGCACAGGACAGCTCCTTGGCACAGGCGGCTTCCCATTCCCCTGCTTCCCATGCCTTTCTCCAGGAATACGGGTAAATGCACCATCCGGACCATGGGTTGCTGACTTCTAACAACCCTGCTTCCAAGGTGTTTTAAATAAATATTGATGCTCCCATACTTAAAAGACTTTTAGTACTGGAGCTGATTTAGTAAATATAAAATTACTTAACTAAGGTAGCCCTACCAGCTTGTCTTTCAGCCTAAACTGTTAGGCTTCACCATCCTTTCTCAGATTGAGGTGACTTGCTTGCCTGCTTACTCGGAGTGAATAAGTACTATAGTATGAACAAGGGCAGCAAAGTTGGGTTCTTTGTTTGTTTGTGAAGTGCTGTATTACTGCTAAGTGACAATGTGAATCTTTTTGTTGTTGTTCTTTGTTGGTCTTTCTTCTTAGAGGAATAGAGCAAGAACTTGGAATAGTTTTTAGAAAATAAAGAGTGCAATTCACAAATATAAAATAAGGAAGACTTAGATCTCCCAATTCATTAAAGTCTTATCAAGTTAGTGACAGGACAAGGGGTAATATAGGAAGTTTAATCCCTGTATGAGGAAGAACGTTCTTGTGAGGGTGGCAGAGCCCTGGAACAGGCTGCCCGGAGAGATTGTGGAGTCTCCTTCTCTGGAGATCTTCCAAACTCGCCTGGATGCCACCCTGTGCCGCGTGCTCTAGATGTCCCTGCTGGAGCATGGGGGTTGGACTACATGATCTCTAGAGGTCCCTTCCAATCTCAACCATTCTGTGATTCTGTAAGTTGCCTAGACACTTAAGACCCAGAATCTTTGGCTCTTAAATTAGCTAGTAAAAGTGCAGTTATCTTCCAAAAGTATCCCAGCAACTCCTTTAAGGAGACATTCAGCTCTATCAGGCCAGGTGCTCGTGCCTCCTCCATGTGTTATTGGCCTTGTACTGGATAGCTGGGCTCACCTGGGTCATCTTAGCTTCCACTGGGACGCCGTGCAGACTTAATACCATGCCTGCTTCAACCTCTCTGTCTTTACCCACATCTGTGATTTCTGGCCAACATCTCACTTGTTCATTCTTACTTTTTCTTTTGATAAAAGATCTTGTATATACAGCCCGTATTTTTTTTTCTTTCAACTCCAGTGTAATATAAGGCTAAGGAAACAATAGGTTCATATAGCAGATGACAAGGACTGGCCAGTATTAGGTGAAAAGGAAGGCAGCGCTCTCTGTGTCCCAAAGTGGCGGTTGTTGCTTCCTTGCCCACTGGCCATCAGGAAGGGATTCCTGCACGCTCTGACCACAGCCCAGCGCTGGGCAGGGAGACTTGCGCAGGAGTTAAGCGGTAAGTACCTCATCCTGGGCTTGATGTTGCTACAGGGGGGCATAGGCTGCAGTCCTGCGCGTTTTGCAAGTAGGGAAAAGCGTCAAGTGGAGGCTGCTCCAGAGGACCCAGGGCAGTAGCCTTGCCCAGCTCTCACAACTATCGTCTCTGCCATTGCAGGTTATGACCTAGGGGAAAGCTAAGATCCCAGAGCTTGTCAAATCACAACATCCAGACTAAATCAAGAGTGCTCTGCCTCCCTGGTGGTTTTTAAGTACTTTGTGGTACTGAATCACAGCAGTGTCTAACAGGTCTGTCAAGCAGCATGGCAAGAATGGCCCACATATGGCCCATATACGAATGGGACAGATGGACACCTGCCATCAGACATGTCAAGGAAAATTCCAAACAGTGGTTGTCTCTGGATTCCCTTTCTCAGAAGACAATAGTTTTCCAGACAATTCTTGTTCCTATTGATTTCTTCAGAGGCCTTTCTCCTATATCAAGATGATGCTAAATTTCATCACCACAAGCCCCTAGATGTACATCCTATTCCTTCTGCCTCAAATGAGCTCCAAACAAGGCACTGCTACCCTAGGACAGCACCTTTCTCCACAGATTCTCAGTCAAACCGTACACTCCAAGGCAGAAAGAGCCCTATGTTAAGCAGGGGCTGACGTGCCACCTCAGTGTTATGCCTGCTGCTGCTCTTTCAGCAAGGACCCTTCACCTGTGGTTGATGTATCTGTGAAGTCTGTACATCCCATCCCAGAAAACAGCACATAAAACAGGTCAACAAAGTGTGTTATCAAACTGCTGCTCTACTGGGGAGCACGCAGGCCGTACAGCTTGCTGAGGCCTAGCTGCCTCCCAGTACCACTGCTGGAGAAGGGGCAGGGCCTCCCAGTCAGCAGGGCACAGCTCAGGCAGGTTGTGGTGCTGGAGCCAAAGCCCACGGCAGTTCCCTGGCTGGGAAGAGGAGGCCTTGTGCCAGTCTCTTTGGTGCTGCCGTTGCTGTCACCGCAGATCTTGCTGTGACGATGAGAGGTTTAGGATGGAGAGGGTCAGCCTTTGCAGCATCGCTCCACCAAGTCCAGGTAGTTTGGAGGAGGCACCGTGAATTTTCTCCAGATTCACAGGGCATTACTGCAGGAGCAACGTACTCGGCCACAGTGAGGGACAACCTGCAGCAGCTTGTGGACAAGGCACCACGTGGCATGACGTGGCACTTTGCAAGTTTCTGTAATAAAGTCTTTAATGTTATAGTCTACCTGTCCGTGTGTGTTGTCTTATCGTCCTGAGACTTTAGCCGCAGGCTCTGTGCCTCCTGCATCCCGCTCTTTTGCCGAACACCTTTATGGGCTTGCAAATTATGCAAAAGATACCCTTTTTCTTGAGTGCCTTGAAGGACCTGATCCTGTAGAGTTCACAGTGGAGTGGCTAATGTCTAGCATGTACTGGACGCGCTGAATTTGGCACAAATCACAGTTTTGATAGTTTACTGATGCTGAAAACACTAGAGAGGAGAGGTAAGGCAGAACTTGTGTTTTTTTTGCCCTGAAGAATTTGGAGAGTCAGCTGTGCTATAAAGGATCCTTTTCATTTTGGTGTATTGGCTCCATGCATGTAGTGAATTTACTGGCCTCAGTTTCAATGGACAGACGGGTTTTCGCCTTGGTGTTCCTGTGTGTGAGAGAAATATTTCCCCATCCCTTGGCCACGTATGAGAAACTCTAAAGCAAGAGAGCGATAGGATCTAAGGCTGGCTTGAAGAATTCTGGAACACACTGTGGTACACAGGTGATCCTTCGTGGTCCTGACTTATAGCATCATGGATCCTTCCACAAGGCCTTTGTTTGGATGGAGGAGGCCCTTTTTCCCATAGCAAAAGCAAAGCTAGAAAGGGAGAGTCATTAGCCCTTACCCCACACCTGGGATATATCCTGTTTGAGCAGTACTCTGAGCTGCACCATTACCTTCCCCATGTCAGTGTGCTCTGAGAAAGGGTGTTGGACCAGATTGTTGTGGTACTTGAAATAAACACTGGTGAACTTCCTACAGCAGAGAGCTCTGGAAAGACAGTTGTTGGACATAGGGCAGCATCTTTGCTGTGCCTAAACTGAGATGTTCAAGCTTTTTTTTCCTTTCCATAAGAGTGAGAAATGTATTTTTAAGCAAAGACTGAGATTCTTCCCTAAAAATCTGAATTTAGCTGCCAAGTAATACCCTTTGTTTAATGAGAAGATGGCAGGATCTAGTGCATCTTGTGCAAATTGATCTGTAATACCTGTAATCTGTAATATCTGTAATCTGATGAGCGTCAGAGGTGGGGGAAGTAGAGGATAGAGGAGTGAGGGGCCATTTGGAGGCCAAGGAGCAAAACACTGGAGATAAACTAGTCCTGGGTTTATAACAGCTGTGCATTAATAAAAAATTCAAACTATTAGAACGATGGTCTGTATTAACTGTGCTCTGCAAATAAATTAAAAATAAGTATTTGATAGTGTTTTTTTTTTTTTTCCCCAAAGGTTCAGATCATCCACACAGTCTGTCTTACAAACTAGAGCTCGGATCAGACCAGGAAATACCTTCTGACTGGTACCCATTTGCTATGGTGCAGTTTGTCATCCATGAGGCCTGTGCCTCAAGAACGGAGGTCAAGTCCCTGGGCGTTGAGAGCGACGTGCAGCCCCAGAAACACATCCTGCAGAAGGCGTTTTACAACTGCCAGGTATCAGCGCTCTGTTCCTCACCCACCCTGTGCAGTATTTGCAAAGCCAGTGTGATCTGTATTCTAGCCATACCTTGCATGCTCTTGCGAGAGCGACCCTGAGCCAAAGAATCGTTAAAAAATAATTCTTTGCCTGATCAAAGGTAATCCTGAAAGCAGCACTGCAAGTGCAGCATTGTTTTTCCTCAGCACACTGTGTCTGGGAGCAGCGTTTTTGAAGTCTGGTGGGCCCGGGAGTCTTCCTATTCTGTGTCAAGGCTTGTATTCACAGTTACTTGCTCAATTCTACCTGTTTTTTGTTTGTTTGTTTGTTTTGTTTTCTAACTACAGGTTGAAATTGAGAAGAAATGGATTAGGCTTGATGGAGAAGATCCAGATAAGGCTGGCAGCTGCCTAATGCAGTAAAAGAGGACAGCAGGTGCCATCATGTAGTATTAGTAGGAACTCATTTCCATGGGAAACTCTATTGATAGACAAAGTGCAATGATCCAATTTAGGATAAATACAATCACTGAGTTGTTTTTACTACTTTTGGGTTTGATTCTGCAAGTCAGTACATTGTCAGCTTACACTGAGCTAAACCTCCTGTTAGGAGAGAACCGATATGAGTAAGGTCATCTTGTAAAGATTTGCAGGGCACGAGCACTTAAGTGACTGATTCCTTTTTTTCCTGTTGCGTATCTATGACTTGGGAGTGATCTCATATTCTGTATTGCAAACCAGCGGCACCACTCAAGGAGCTCACATCACTTGGACATAAAATATTCAGCAATAAAAGCTGTCTGTATGCTTTTATGTGCAGACCAGCATCTGTGCAAGGCCCAGCAGCAGCAATTGCACTTTTGGGTGAGGTTGAAAAATCCATGTCCCCCCTGCTTCTGCTCACCTCAATATACATCAACAGAACAAGTCGTAACATAACTTTCTACAAGTGCCTCAACTAACGAGTAGAAACTGGTTGATCTCTTTGGTGGAATGGAAGAAGTTGCTCAGCAATGTTTCCTCATCTCTTTTGTAGCTGTGAGTGTTTCCTCCCCAACATTTTATAGGTTTGCTTAATGTCATCTCTTTGGGAAAAAAAAAAAAAAAACACATATGGCAGATGTGATTGAAACTTCTGTACCAGCCTTAGATAAGTCTTTTTCACTACTGCAGCAAGTGAAACAAGGGACAGATCCTCAGCAACTGTAAATCAGTCCAGGTGTCTTAAATTCAATAAAGTCTTGCTAATTTACACCAACAGAGCTGAAAAAAAAAGGCCCAATTGCCCTGGGCCGGCTCCAGGCCTTCTGATCCAGGTATTGCTCTGGGAAGTGCAGGCTGTGCTGCACTGTTGCTTTGGGAAACTTGAAGACAGAGAGCAGGTCTTTCTGTGGAGGGAAAGCAAGGTGGTTCTCCCACTACTGGCTCCCAAGGGGCTTTTCGATGGGAAAAGGGCACTGGAATAGACTGGCACTAGGGAAGTGAAGCTGTGACACTTCAGCAGGCAGCGTGAGCTACTAATCCCTACCAGTATGTTAACAGTTTTTGAACAGTTGGAAATTGGGGAAGGGTTTACATGTTTTTCCAAAGTCATTACCCACTTTGCCATTTTCTGCAGGGGATAACTCCAGGTCTGAAAAAAAGTATAGTGATGAACTTAAAAAATGCTCCTCATACTTTTTTGCTGCAATTTTCCTAAAATTATCCTTACTTCAAACTGAAATAACTGGAGAATAAAAATATAGTAAGGCACTAAGTCACAATTTATATTTTGGCACAGCTGTTCACAGTTTATGTGAACACTGAGTAAAAATACAGAAAAATGTTATTCCCTAAAAGTAGAAATATGTGAGATATACCTTGAGAAAATTATCAGTCTGAAGAAACAGAAGGCCATAATATTAACAGAGTTCATCACAATAAAGTTTTCTTCCCCCATTTAAAAGCTGAGAATGAAATGGGTAATAGATTCTATACTAAATCCTGAGGGTAGATTTTTTATGTGTATTGCATTGCCAAAGCCCCAATAGGCTATTATGGTATTTTGCCTTCTCTATATATCCCATTTTATTAGCAGATTATATTACCAGAAATTTAAGCAAATGCATTAGCGAGTAGTCATCCCAGTGTGTCTCCGATGCTGCATCTTCCCATACGTGTTTTGACTTGAGAAACAATTAGCACCTTCAAGTCCTGTTCAGTTTATTTTATTCATATTTAATTTTGGTTTATTTAGTTCTCAGCTGAACTAAGAGACAGAGTGCAGACTAGGGCAAAATGTATTTACTTAGTACTAAGGCAGAACTCTGCAAATCACTTATTTCTAGCACAACATGGAGTTACAGTATCTGTTAACCTCTTTGTGCTCGATAAGGCAGAGGAAGCAGAATGCTCAGGCATTTCACAGCACAGACGTTTGTCTGAAGCTGTTGGGTCCCCTGCTTTGCTTTCACTGACATTAACACAATAAATTCAGTAAATCAGTGCTAAGTGCCCAAAATGTCTTGCTCAGCTGGCCCCCATCTTTCCTCTTTTCAAGTAAGAGGGTCAGTCTCTTGGGTGACTTTCCCATCTTGGGATGCTGCTGCTTTGCAAGCATCTCCTGGACATTCGGTGCCTGTTGCAGTTACAGCTCCCGCAGAAACATTTACTTTGGTTCTCTCCTCTTCCTGCTGTCTCTCACGGTATATTTAAGAACCCAGTCTAGTGCTGTAGCTTCTTCCAGCTTGAATATGCCTTATTGCTGTGAATGGCTCAAGTGATAAAGAGCCATGCTGTAATTCTTCTGCCCCATCGCTGAGTCCCTGTTAGATCTGCTGTGGTGCAGTAATAATTCTGCCTTCCTGAGCTCTTTAGCATAAAAAGCTCAAGTTGCAGCTATATCTATGCAACAGGATCTTGGCTTCACATCTGAGGCTGGCAAGACTCTTCACTAGCGTTAATGGGAATTGGATCAGGATCACGGGGAATTCATGCCACAGAGATATTGCTACACTGAAAGAAAGTTACTCTGTTTTGTGCATGATCTTTAGTTTAAATGTGCCAAATAGCACAGCCGAAGGCAGAATTAATTGCCCTGTTCAGTCTCAGACTGATGTTTGTACACCTTGCATATTTTTAAAATACACTACAGTTTAATGAAAGAAAAAAACAGGGTTGTCTGGCTTTTTTTTTTTAGGTTTTGTTTTTTAATCAAATTCTAATCTTCACCTCTTATTGCATAACACTGAAACAGGCTTCCCCTTTCTAACATTTCTTTTGCATTCTCTGATGTTCTTGAATGAAGAAAAATTGAATTGAATTACTGAACAAAAATTCCCTATATTTGTCTAATATTGTCTATTGAACAAATATTCCCAATGTTTCAGCTTATTTGCTAGCATCTTCTGCAGAAGGTGGTAGTGAATAAATGTGTGTGTTTGGATTCTTTGCAAATCTGTGTTCTGAGGCGTTTTGCTGCATTTTTGAAGGGGAATGGAGGCGGGGGGCAGTTTTGATGCTCTGCTGTGATGCTCAGTGTGCCGGCAGCAGCAGGCAGGGCCGGCGCTGGAGCGGCACTGGGAGGAGTTGGTGCTGCATGAGGAGCCTTGCTGGGCCCGTGCCGCCACACTGAAGTACTTCCAGCTACACTGGTCACTGAAAATGCTGGCATTTGCTAACATGTACTATAGGGCCATATTTAGCCTGTTGTTATCTTTGTTTCTTTCCCAAAGCAGCGTCAGGGTTTGGGATATTTTGTATTTTAAACAGAAATGAGTGAGAACAGCTATTTTTGTAGTGTGACTGATTCTCTAAGTGCTGTATTTGCTCAGACGAACTTTATCTTTGCATTAATCTTTCTCATACTAATAGTATTACTGTATGTAAATGGTACGCGATGTAATTTTGGATTCAAACACCCATTGAAGTCAATGGAAGCCTTTTAACTGACAAACAGAGATCTGCATCAAAGTCTCTGAGAATGAAGGAGGAGCATAAGAAAAAAAAAAAAAAGCAATCAAATAGTGGTAATAAATAGAAAAAAAATGTAGTGGATTCTTGACACTGGCAAATAAACAACGTGCAGTGCTTGCTTATTTCTGCCCGAAAAGCAAACAGAGAGAGGGGACGGATGGATGTTCCCGTGTGTCCAAGCTGTGGCCCTGCCACGACTGTGACCGATTCCAGCAGCCCCTGGAAACAGGGGCAGTGCTGCACTTGGGAGCATCACAACTAGCTGCTGTCGCCTTTATGCTGCTTGCTTTTTTTTTTTTTTTTCCCCCAGATTCCATTTAATTTTCCAAAGGTGCTTAATGCTTGGAAAAGGCTCTTTTCAGATGTTGCTTTTAGTTACACGTTTTTTACTTGACAGATTTCTTAGTTGCAGTACTGGTGCCCATGCCTCTATTCTATACTTAATTCTCTTTGTATTGACTAAATACAGTAACTAACTGCTGGAGTTAGTAGTTATTAGCTGTTATTTTAATAATTCAGAAGCAGTGCTGTTATTTTTAATGGAAAATATCAATGTATGTGTTTTTTTTGTCAATATAAGTATAAATGGATCATGCTGATAATCTTGTAATAACATTTTGTAGATTGCATATTGATAAAAAAAATAAAGCTGTATTTCATACTAGCAGTTTCTTGTCCCCCTACTAAAAATTTATCAAGCTCATTTTGCATTTGCTATAATTAGATAGTTGATCTTGTACTATTAAGTGTTACAATTTATTAGTAAAAGAAGTTTTGCTTGGTGTGTCTCTTATGCACTCTCGGTTGCAGAAAGCTCAGCAGTGCACTCTATTCCAGTAATGATAATTTCAGCCTGCCTTATTTTCACAAGATAGTACACCAAAGAATATGATGTTTTTGCCTCTCCAACACATTCTCCAAACCCACTGGGATATTCGAGTATAAACCAGTGACTTTCACAAATTTCATAATTCCTTCTTGGAATGAGCTGTTACTAGTGGAGCAGCGAAACCTGTCTGGGGAAATACATGAGTTAAGGCAGAGACGTGTTGTTAGTCCGTAATCTCAATAATCACCCACACACTCAACCTGGTGGGTTAAAAAGCAAGTTTTTAGTAGCTGGCCGGCGGCGGACCTCTTACAGTTTGCCTGAGATCCGTGCCGTCTTGGGAAAAAGTTTGTGTTTTTAGACAGCTGCAACTCCTTCATTCGTTATTTGCAGTTACCAGTTCTTCACGGCTGATATCTTATCTCATGGTTGCAGCAAGAGCAGGGTGGCTCAGCATAAGTAGCAAGCTATGTTCACAGAAGCAAATAGCGAAATTAGGTACCTAGTCACCTCAACCTTATTAACTTCTTATATGGCCCCTCTTTGCACAGGGTCCTACATTTCCCCACTGGCTGTTGTCCCCTACCTCAAACCATTGAGGTAATACTCTTCTCCTGGGAGTGGGTTATAGTACGTCCCGTGACCATTATTTTTTGCCTCTGAAATTGCACTAGCGATATGAGTGCGGATGCATTTTAAGATGCAAGGGATAATGATCATAAAAATAAGAATTAATATTATGGGACCAGCTATTCCAGACATTAGGGTGGTGAGCCATGGGGACCAGTTATACCACGACTGGAACAGATT